GAAATGAATTTGAATTTCGAAACATGAGACCCAAAATAAAAATCGAATTTGATTGGGCCAAATATGCTGCGAATTAAAACACAAATAATTTTAATTGGTTGCCAAAAAAAATGCTTTTGATTGGCCGTGTGACGTGTACGGGAACACATGCTCGTGATGATTTATGGAGACACGCACTGTTGGAGGTGAGGTTGGCGATTAAGGCGGAAGATTATTGGAAGAAAATAGAGAAAATTTGGATAAGTTATCTCTGTTATACATTAGCGACAATAATGTAATCGAAGAAAATTATCTTATAATTTGATGTCTTATTCGAATATGATAATAGATTAGGGGTAGGAATGTTGTGTGCGGAAATGCAATAACACCTATTCGTCGCCGATTTTTCATAGAAAATTATATTAAACACACTGCAATTTCGCTGTTTTGTATTGTGGCGTGATTGACTCTATTTTGTTTTCTTGGTGTATGCTTATGATCCACTTGGTCCACACGGCTTCTCTCGGCTCCACAGAAAGAAATAAAACGTAAAATTACATTGTATCATAGTAATCTCTTTCTATTTAATATGCCAGGGGGGGATCCACCCCCAGCTAGAAAATTAGGTAAGGTTAAGTAGGATTCTTTGGTTAGGTTGGTGTGGTCTTCTAACAACGCTTCAGCCTCTTGTTTCTTATCAACCAAGGTTAGGTTAGGTTTAATTTAGAAATAACCACTTTTTACCATATTTGCCCAAACTACGACAGTGTTCACTGCAAAGCACAGTGAAATTGTGGCGATTTTATATTAATTTTCTACGAATAATCGGCAAAGATTACATCGTCAATAATTTCCAATAATTAATTTCTTCATGTACAAAGCAGACACATCAATTTAGTGTCAACTGATCAGTTTTTCACCGTGTTTTGCACTGCATTTTTCCTCATATTTCATGCCCTGCCCACTACAGGTGATTATGATCATAGATAGAGAAATTAAAAAATAAAATACAAATACTTATACTTACTATAATGATAAGAACATCTGTGGAAAAAAATAAACAATATCGAACAACTCCTTTTGGTGGTTGCGGTTTCCTCATAAATTACAACATGCATCTAATCTAACCCCAGGTAGCATTAGGGGTGTTTAGTCATCATGTGAAATAAGGTAGGGTACTTAATCTCAATGTGATCCGTTATTATATCTATGTTAACTTAGACATGTCACCCGTGTAACGTAAACACGTTGGTTTAGTGGACAATATTTCTTGGTCTCCACCACAAGTTGGTTCTTGTGATACAGTTGTGTGTATAATGTTCCAGCCCGAATTTTTACACTGTATATTTCTTATCACTAAATATTTCCTGTGTACATAGTAACCAAAACATTTCATACCTTATTATGTCGTGAAGAAGTATAGTACAGTATATTCTAAGTTAAAAAGGTCATTGACAGTGTCGAGGAAGCTCATGGGGGCTTTTGAATTAGACTAGTTTTGTAACAGCAAAAAAAAATGGATAAGAAATATGATTTTTAGAAATTGATCAGGTTTGTTTCTGTATTGTTGAGTACATTGAGTTATAAAGTCCCATGATGTTTATGTTTACAGAAGGCCCTCAAGCAACATACAGAACATCAATATGTACTCCATTATTTTCTGTTAATAAATATACAGTACTCTTCAACACGTTTACTCTGATGTAAAAGCAAGAGTTGTAATGACCACATTCTTGCTTTGTAATTTCACCTGCAAGTCTGAGTCACAGAGGAGACAGTGAAGAATACAGTTAAGTGTTGAAGATGATGGAAACTTTACTTGAAGGGATAAACAGAAACATCAAGGGAATTTTTAACCACTGTGTAGAGTAGGGCTACACATCTTGTTTCTCCAGAGTGTTGAATGTTGAACACACTTAGCTTCTGATTTTTACATACATACATACTCTTCTCACACTTGACTACTGCTTCTTACACACACACACACTCTTACTCTTCTCACACTTGCCTACTGCTTCTTACACACACACACACACTCTCTCTCTCTTACTCTTCTCACACTTGACTACTGCTTCTTACACACACACACACACACACACACACACTACTGCTACTACTTTGCTGTCACTCGGAATCGAGTATGACGATCATCCAGCTATGATACAGTGATATGAGTTATTAGGGATGTCACCTAGGTTGCTGAGTTTTGAGGTGACTAAAGAGGCCGATACGAGACCCGCAGCATAGTCCACATTCGTTGCACATGTGGAGGGCTCCATCTACTGTGGGAGGGGCGGTGGCAGCGTCTTTCCAACGTTGGCGCTTGTCTGCCTCGGTTTGCAGTCGGGCTAACTCGAAAGTATTGACACCCTCTCATGTGGTGCTCCTCACAGCGTTGCGATGTGGAGTAATCGACTTCCAGGTGCAGGTTGAAGGAGAATCTGAGTCTTACGTACATTCACCTCAAGGCCGAAATGCTCTTACGCGTTTGCGTAGGTGTTCAGGATCTCCTGTAGGTCGTGTTCAGTGTGAGCAACAAGGGTGAGGTCGTCTGCATACTGAAGTTCAGTAATGGAAGCAGCCGACACCTTTGATATTGCCTGGAATCGTCTTATGTTGAAAAGACCCCTCTTCACCCGGTACAAGATGGTCACCCCGCTGGCTAAATTGGCACTGGCATGAGTAAGGAAGGCAGCCAAGAAGATGGAAAAGAGAGTTGGTGCCAGTACACACCCTTGTTTAACCCCTGTTTGGATGGGGAAGAAATCTGAGTGGGTGCCGCTGTGCAGGACACTGCAGTTCATGCCATCGTGGAGTTGCTTCACAATGGCAATGAATTTTGGTGGGCAGCCTAAAGGGCTGAGGGTCCACCAGAGGGCTTCCCTGTTGCCTGAGTCGAAGGCCTTGATTAGTTGGTGAAAGC